CGCCCACAACCTGTTTGATGAATTGCCCGTTAGAATGTTACTTTATTAGTTAGCTGGAAATCGTCTAGAATCGTGCTCATTGTTTCTCTCTTTTCAATTGTAGTGAAGCCTCTATATAAAGGCTGAGAATTCTATTCAATAACTATGATATGAAGGATTCTAAAAACATCTCAATATTGTTCTTTGTGACTCTGTTTTCCCTACGTCCTCTGTTCCTTGTTCTTCTTTGTCTGCTGTCAAATTGCAGCTCCTGATTTGCAGCCGCCACAACATTTAAAAGGAAGAAGAGCTTGATCGTATGTGATCACGGCAATGAAGAGTTTGGGTGTCCAAAACAACACAACGGCAGTCCAAAGGTTCTCACAAACGGGAGTTATTTCTGTCTTATACATGTTCTGCCCGACTTTGTTACTTTTGGGGATGACCCGTTTTCTGGTCACCAAGACTCTGGTGAATTTGAAGCTCTGAATTTTTCTCCTGCACGAATGAAAACCTCCATTCGTTTTTATAGTTGTTGGGTCCCTCCCACACATGAATCTGTCATGTATACATGAGTTGCAGATGTGGGTTGTAAATTCCGCGTCTTGATCCAAAATCCTCGTACCATCTTTTCGGGAGGGATTATAGCATCATCCTAGCAATACTCTAAAGTGATAAACTGTGCTTACATCTCCAATTTAAGTGCTAAACTGTGATTTTCAAGTCCGTTTTTTAGGATTCTAAACGGGTACAATCACAAGTACGGACAATTTTTTGAAAGACCATTTTATTTGAATTTTGAATATTACAAATCATAAATTCGGCCCGAGACTATTCGTCACTGATGATGAATTCTATTAAGCATCGACTTGGAAGGATTTTTTCTGATGTCATTTATCGTATTTTTAGTATGATTTTTTCGAAAGACAAATTTCCTTGTATTTGAATCCTACAGATCATCAATTATACCTGCGACTATTTTTCAGTGATGCTTAAGTCTATTAAGCACCAATTTGGATAAAAAAAAAAATTTGAGTCCATATTTGGCATATTTCAACATGTACCAACATAATTTTACGCGATTTTTACGAAAGACCATTTTACTTTGATTTTGAAGGTTATAGATCACGCATTCGGCATAAGGTTAATTTCCATGGATGATGAAGTCTATTAATTGATGATTTTTTTGGATTTTTTGGAAGGTATGTTTATAACTTTTGGGAAATTTTTTTGCAAGGTCATTTTTCATGGAGTTTGAAGGTTGTTATCACAGGTTCCGCCTGAGGTTATTCTTTACTAGGGGTGTCAGTTCGTGGCGGGTTTGGTTACCCAAATGGAAACCCGAAAACCTGAAACCGAACCCGATAAGGACTTTCGGTTTCCGGTTATCCGTAACCTGAATATTCCTTATCCAGTTTGGTATCGGTTAAAGCAAACTGAAACCCGAATACTCTAATGCCTAAGAATACGGGCTGAGTTCTATTCCTTGGAGGTTTCAGATGGAACCCGTAAACACGATAAGCAAACCCGAACCCGAAACAAACCCTAACCCCAAAAACCGAAAATGAATATAATTGGGTCGGTTTTGGGTGAACCCGAATGGACACCCCTATTCTTTACTGGTGATAAAGTCTATTAAGCACCAATTTGTGCAAATTTTTCAGGATCATTTTTGGCAGATTCCAGAGGGGTACCATCATAGATTTCCGACAATTTTTTTGAATGGTAATCTTCCTTGGATTTTGAGACAAATCACATATTCTGCTTAAGGCTATTCTTCACTGATGATGAAATCTGTTAACTGCCGACTTGGATGAATTTTTTCGGAGGTAATTTTGCGTAATTTTTGGGCGATTTTTTCATGTGGTCATTTTTCTTGAATTTTGAAGGTTACTGATCACGGATTTTGTCTGCGGTTATTCTTCATCAATGATCAAGTCTATTAAGCACTGATTTGAGGAGATTTTTTCGGTGGTCCATTTTTGACAGATTCCGGAGAGGTACCAATCACAGATTTTAGGTGATTTTTTGAATTGCGTTTTTTTGGATTTTGAAGGCTACACATCACGAATTCGGCAGCAGGCTATATATTCTTCATTGCTAAATAAGTCTATTCAGCATCGATTTGGATCAATTTTTCTTGTTTCATTTTTGGCAAATTCTATAAGAGTACAATCACAGATTTCGTCAGGTTTTTTACAAAAGGTCATTTTCCTTGAACTTTGAAGGCTAAAGATCAACGATTCGGCCTAAGGCTATTCTCCATCGTTGATTAAGTCCATTAATCGCCGATTTGTGCATATTTTTTTTGAATGACATTTTCTTAATATTTTGGACAGAATTCTTGAATGGGCATTTTACTTGGATTTTGAAGATTATACATCACAGATTCGGCCTGATGCTATTCTTTACCGATGATTAAATCTTGTACAAATTTCTTCTGGGTTCATTTTTTGTAGATTCCAAGGGGGGGGGGGGGGGTTACCATCATAGGTTTCGAGCGATTTTTTGAAAAATTATTTTCATTGGATTTTAAAGGCTACAGATCACAGATTCGTCTTGCGGTTATTCTTCATCGATGATGAAGTCTATTAATCGCCGATTTGTGCGGATGTTTTGGCAGGGCATTTTCTTAATTTTTTGGACGGTTGGCTCTGGTGGAAATACTGTGGAGGATTTGGAAATCTAAATACTGGGCTGCCTTTGAGGGCAAGCAGTTCTTGATTCCACAACTGATGCGCCAATACTATCAGCAACTCCATAAATGGGTGTCCTTGCTAGTGGATAGGATGGTCCGAGATGGGCTTCCTTCGCAACACAATCTGGAGGTTGTGAATTTGACTTATGTCGTTTGTATTCGGGATGGGGCGGTTCGTGCTAACTCACATTAAGCGGGAGGATTGATCATAAAGGATGGGGGAGGGTCTATGCTCTTAGCAAGAGGAATGGTGTTTGAAAACATGGATGACTGGTAGAGACTATTATCCTCTGTGAAGCTATTCAGTGGTGTCAGAATCTGGGCATCCCTCGAGTTCGTTTTGAAGGTGATGTGAAGGTGCTCATTGTGAAGATTAATGCACGGATGCGCAAGACAGTCGTGTTGGGGTTATTATCCAGGAGATTCTGCATTTGATGGCTCTGAGTAGTGGTTTTAGTGTTCGATTTATGGGTCGGATTAGCAATAGGGTAGCTCATTCAATGGCTAGGAAGGCCCTTTCTTTGTCTCTGACTGTGTGTCGCTTTTATGATTTTTGTGCCTGGGTTGGGTCCAGGGTGTAGTCTGTGATCTTTTTATCAATCAATATGATTATCTTTTGTTTAAAAAAATAGAATGAGTATTTTCCTTGGATTTAGAAATTACAGATCACGGATTCAGCCTCAGGCTATTCTTTGTCCATAACTAAATCTATTAAGCACCGATCTGGGTGGATTTTATCTGGGTCCATTTTTGGAAGATTCCAAAGGGGTACTATAACAGATTTCGGGCAATTTTTTTGAAAAGCCATTTTAATTGGATTTTGAAGGCTACGGATTATGGATTTGCCCAGAGACTATTCTTCATCGATGATTAAGTCTATTAAGAAACGATTTGTTCTTATTTATTCCTTGTCCATTTTTGACAGATTTCAAGGAGTACCATCACAGATTAAGGGTTCATATTTATGCCTTTGATTGTGAAGGCTACATATCACATATTCGACCCGAGGCTATTATTCCCTGATGATTAAGTCTATTAAGTTTCGATTAGGGCAGCTTTTTTCTGTGTCCATTTTTTGGCGAATTCCAAAGGTTTTTTTTGAAGGCTATTTTATTTTACTTGGAATTGTTTTGTGTGATTTTTTCGAAAGACTATTTTCATTGGATTTTGAAGGCTATAGATCATGAATTCAGCCTAAGACTATATCCTCATTGATGATTAAGTCTATTAAGTACCAATTTAGGCAAATTTTATCCAAGTCAATTTTTGGTAGATTCAAAACTGGTCCCATCATAGATTTCGAGCAACTTTTTTGAAATGTCATTTTCCTTGTATTTTGAAAGCTATAGATCACTGATTCTGCTTGACACTATTTTTACAGATGATTAAGTTTATTAAGCATTGATTTGTACAAAATTTACGGCTTCATTTTTGGCAGATTTCTACCAATTTTTTTGAAATACCATTTTCCATGGATACCGATTTTTGAGAATTTTTTTAGGCTATTTTTTCATGATTTTTTGTGTGTTTTTTTCGTAAGGTCATTTTCCTTGAATTTTGAAAGCTACACATCACAAATTCGGCCTGAGGCTAGTCTCGCTGATGTTTAAGTCCATTAAACACCGATTTGGGCATAATTTTGTAGATAATTTTTTGGCAAATTCCAGAGGGGTACTATCATAGATTTCGGATTTTGAAGGCTACAGATCACGAATTTGGCCCGAATCTATTATTCACCGATGATTAAGTCTGTTTAGTACCATTTTGTGCGGATTTGTTTCGGGCAAACTTTTTGAAGAATCCAAAGGGGTACCATCACAGGTTTCAGACGATTTTTTAGAAATTTCATTTTCCATGGATTTTGTAGGCTATAGATAATGGATTCGACCTGAGGCTATTCACCACCAATGATGAAGTCTAATAATACCGTTTGCGTCGATTTTGTATGGCATTTTCGAAAAATTTTGGTAGATTTTTTCGAACGGTCAATTTCTTGGTTTTAAAGGCTACTAATTATGGATATTGCCTAAGGCTATTCTTCACCGATGATTAAGTCTATTAACCACTAATGTGGATAAATTTTTTCCTGGTAAATTTTTGGCATATTCTAAAATGATACTATCATAGATTTCGAGAGATTTTTTTGAAAGATCATTTTACTTGAATTTTGAAGGCTACAAATCACTTCTTAGACCTGAGACTATTATCCAATGATGATGAAATTATTAATCACATATTTGTGTGGATTTTTTCGCAAGGCATTTTCTTTATTTTTTAGGAGATTTTTCCGGAATGCCAATTTTCTTGGAATTATTTTTTATTGGAAATCTGGTTCAATTTATTAAAAACTTAGGTCCCAAGACCCAAATCAGCCTCAATCATACAACCAAGAGTAAGTGGAGGGTTTTCAACCCAGACCACTTGCTGATCCCACCCCAACCCAATGTGAGCCAACCAGTGGACCACAACATTCGATTTTCTAGATCTAAACTCCCACTTCACTTCTCTTCCCGACAAAGATTCATTCACTCTAGCCAAAACCTTCAGCTCCTCACACCATAAACCCAGCTCGGTACAATCTTCCTCTCCCTTCTTCAATTGATTTACCAAAACCTGACAATCCATTTCAACAATTAGGGGGCTGAGCTCTCTCCGATTTGCCTCCCTCAAGCCCATGACCAGAGCTCTAGCCTCTACTTCGATAGTTCTGCAAACGCCCTTCACCTTCTTCGCCATTGCCCCAACAAACCTTCCTCGCCAATCACAAAAGATACAGCCCAGCCCAATCCCGCGACCTTTGATTATCCCAGCATCAGAGTTCAATTTATAGAAACCCTCCGGTGGCGGGATCCAACGACAGTCCTGATTCGAGCGGTCGCCGACCGAGACAACCCCAGGGCTAGGGTTCGGAGAATCTTGAGCAGCCAAGAAAGCCGAAAGCCACCCCAGAGCTCGAGGAATGATCTCCTCCTCCTCCAGCTTCCGATTGTTAAACTTATGATTGCAGCGTTCCTTCCACAGGTACAATAAAATTGAGCAAAACCTTTGAATTTTCTTGGATTTTGAATGCTACATATCATGGATTTGGCTTGAGGATATTCTTCTTTGATGATTAAGTCTATTAAGCACCAATTTGGGCGGATTTTTCTCGGGTCGATTTTTATCACATTCCAAATAAGTTCTATAACAGATTTCAGGTGATTTTTTTGACCATTTTCCTTGAATTTTGAAGGCTTCATATCAGAGATTCAGCCTGATGAGGTTATTATTCACTAATGATTAAGTCTATTAAGTACGGATTTGGACGGATTTTTTTCGAGTTCATTTTTGGTAGATTCTAAATGACATTATAGATTTCGAGCAATTTTTCAAAAGACCTTTTCCTCGGATTTTGAAGGTTACATTTCACGGATTCAGTTTGAGACTATTCTCCATCACTAATGAATTCAATTAATAGCTGATTTGTTCGATTTTTTTGCATGGCATTTTTTGTAATTTTTTGGTCAATTTTTTAAATGCAATTTTTCTTGGATTTTGAAGACTACAGATCATGGATTCGATTTGAGACTATCTTTCACCAATTATTTATTTAGCACTGATTTTTGCGGATTTTTTCCTGCTCCATATTTGGTCATTTGCAAATGAGTACCATTAATATTTTGGGTGAATTTTTCAAAGGTAATTTTCATTGAATTTTGAAGGTTACAGATCACTGATTTGACACGAGGCTATTTTTCACTGATGATTAAGTCTATTAAGCACCGAATTGTGCGATATTTTTAGTCCATTTTTCGCAGATTCCAAATGGTGTACCATCACACATTTCGAGCGATTTTTTCGAATGATCATTTTCTATGGATATTGAATGTTAGAAATCACGAAATCGGCCTCACGATAATGTTCATTCATAATTAAGACTATTAAGTACAGATTTGGGCGGATTCTTTTCGGGTTCATTTGTCACAGATTGCAAAGGTGTACCATAACATATTTTAGACAATTTTTCGAAAGACCATTTTCATTTCATTTTGAAGGCCACATATCATGGAATTGCCCTGAGGTATTCATTACTGATGATTAAGTATATTAACCACTGATTTAGGCGGATTTTTTACAAGTCCATATTTGGTTGATTCCAAAGACGTACTACCACATATTTCATGTGATTTTTTCGAATTACTATTTCTCTTGGATTTTGAAGGCTACAGATGATGGATTCTGCCCAATGCTATTCTTCATCGAATGATGTTGTAAGTTTGTGTGGTTTTCTTTGGATGACATTTTCGTAATTTTTTGGTCAATTTTTTCGAAATACCATTTTCTTGGATTTTGAAGGCAACAGATTACGGATTCAACATGAGTAACACTACAAGAAAACTAGATTTCGAAGACAGAGTTTATTTGTGTCTAAATGTCACTTATTTTCTTCAATGTCTTTCGATGCAAATATGTTATTTGAATCATTTGCCTCTGTCTTTCGATGCAAATAATATTTACCTTTAAAAATGGAATTAGAGACCAAAGTATTTGACTCTAATGATTTAGCACTGATCTAGCTCTGTTTAGTGGATCGAAGCCGGATTAGAGGAAAAAGACTTTCTTTGCTCTGTCTAAGAGCATCTGGCGTTGTTCCCTGTTCTGATGCCTCCGACGGCGCAGCTGCCGCCAACCAGGATAGCACAATGAAAATGACAAATGTGTCACCGAAATACACGTGAGTCGAATACACGGGATCACAGTCATCTTCTAGTTGTATGCGGCAAATACGAACAAAGATGTATATTTCGCGGTAGCAAAAACAAAATAAATGAAATAAAAAGATGAGTGTTAAAAGATTCCCATATGTGATTAAAAGAAATGTAAAAAAATGAGAAATGAACAAAAATATGTCATTTTGTAAATAAAAGAAAATAATAGAAATAAAATAAAATAGAATATGAGCTCATTAAGGTAATGCCTATAAATTTTGCAATAATTATAATTTTACCTCTTAATAAATAGTGGAATGTTGAAATTACCTAGTCAAACTTGCGTAAATTGGCAAATGAAACAATATAGGATTATGTTTGAAGTTACTTAGTCAACTTTTTCTAAAATAATATTCTTCTAAGCTACGAGCCTATTAGATACCGAACAATTTAAATTTAACTATCAAGATGCATTTGTGGAGAAATTATTTTGTTCTAAAATTTATCATCAGAAAGTACGAACAAAACAATCCACCACTGTTAATAAATTATTACAACAATCGTTATTAAGGTGGGCATTGGCCGCTCCGGTCCAGAATTAGATTGAATTGAGATAGTTCCGAACCAAAAAAAAAAAAAAAAAAAAAAAACGAGATCAAAAGCATTTTTGGTTCATTTGGTTCGATTCAATCTAATCCAAATTCAATTTTATTCCGTTCTCTCTTCAAACATAAAATAATTTATAGAAACAAACCAAATTAAAATATATTCAATCTAATCCGATTCAGTCCAAATATCAATTAGATCCGGTGTGAATCGAATCGTTGACTTCTCCTAGTCATAATAAAACTGGCTGAAATTCTTTTGTTCTAAAATCTATCTTCAGGAATGTTATCTTACATAAAAAAAAAATTAATCTAATTTTTCAATGAAAAATGAAAATTCGAGTAGAGCAAACAAGATATTAGGATTACGCATATAATTTACGTGCATGACAGAAAAGTAAAGGTTTCCAGTGGGAGTGGATCCTGTCAATAACCTTGTGGTCAATAACCCTTGCATAACACAATCAGAATCCGCCACATCAACATTCTTTCTCTCTCCTAGAAAAGCCTTTAATTTTTCCTCCTTTAATCTTTAATGGGCGATTTCTCACTCGTTTTAAATTGACATTTAATTTTTTTGCACATTTAGATCAGATTAATTGTGCTCTTCAAAATGATATCATGCTGATGTATCAAAGTGGATATCAAAGTGGATATCATTTTGAAGAGCACAATTAATCTGATCTAACTGTGCAAAAAATTAAATTTTGACTTAAAACGAGTGAGAAATCGTCCGTCAAAGATTAAGAAGGAGAAAATTAAAAACTTTTCAGGAGAGATGCTGATATCATGCTGATGTGGGCAGGTACTCATGGTTACTCACCATAAGGTTACTGACCTGATCCGTTCCCTTTTCTGTCAGTCGTAGCCTTAGTTGTCGAATCTTTTCCCAGCCACCCTTATTTGGTAACAGCTCGCACATGAGACATACGGATCCCTCCACATTAGACGAATTACTATTTTTTGGCGATACACCCAAAAATTTTCTATTCCGGTATAATCTAAATAATCAAGAAGACAGCCAAAGCACAAAGTACGTACTTGAACGGTTTCTGCATGGATCGGGAATATTTTGCCGAATGGGTCAAAGTATAAATGAAACATGTAAAATGGGCATTGTTGTACGTCTACCCATAATATACAATAAGGAAAATATGAGTTCATCATCGTCGACAGGGAAGAAATCTAATAAGGTGATGATCGTGATGGCGGCGGTTCTGTTAGTGGTGTCGTTGAGAACTCGATCGGCGTCGGCCGACGTAAGCTGGCTTTGCAACCCCGCTCTTTTCGACTACGACGATCCGCGGATTCCTTCTGCACATGGACTGCTCGGGACCATGGTTGGGAATGATGATCCGGTGTTGAAGGGTGCATGGTACGATCATGCACAGACCTTCGATAACAAGATTGTCTACGGTTACCGGCGGGTGGATGACATTGAGGGCGCGGGGAGCTGCATTTCTGAAGCCATGTACGCCCTCATCAGTAACCCGCATTGCTATCAACACTCCGGAGGTCAAGCATGGGGAGATGGATGTTTACTGAGGTACGAGGCCTACCCGTTTCAGGTCTGATATACTGCTGGCGAGAAGATTTGAATCTGCTGGTTTAAGTTGATACTGCGTCATTTGTCAAAGTGTGTCTCTTTAAGTTCTGAATTGTTGGGCCAGAGTTATGTTGTCTAAGTTGTTGAGAGCTTTCAGCTCAAGTGGTTAGTTGTTCTTACATAGTTGCAGGAGTACAGGTTCATGGGGTGGGGTTGATGGATTGTTGGGAGACCGAGATCCAAGGTCAAATACTTGTTCTTTATATATATACATTTGATGTTTTTGCATTCAATAAATTAAAACTTGGTCAGTTTGTCCCAAACTTCGTCGATCAACTATATATTTATATACTCTTGTCAAAAAAAAAAAAAAAAAACTATATATTTATATATGTATACCTTTCCCAACATTGTGTCATATGTGTGTGTCCTGTAATGGGTTGGTTGCCGGGCGGTTGGATTTATGGTTACTGTTTGGATGTATGGTTTGTCTGAATACTCGAATTTGCAAACCAAAACGAGATTTACTTGAATAGATAGAAGAATCAATTGGTTGTTGCGAATGGAGAAAAATCATAGTTCTATACAATTGCGGCTCTGCTCCTTTATACCCAGAAGGGTTTTATCACGAGGAGAGAAAAAGATGAACAGAGGATGGGATACGGTGACAACCCGGTTGTGAGATTCACAACCAAGGGTAATTTGGGTATGACAAAAAAAAACAAATTTATTAATTAATTTTTTTGTATTAATTACATATTGGAAATTAAAAATCCATGTTAAATACATGCTTTTTTTAAAAACTCTACAATTAATACACATATATATCTCTCTCTACTTTTTTCAGCTGCCTCTCTACTCTGACCGCCAAACTTTCTCCGACCGTCAAATTTTTTCCAGTGAAATCCTTCAATCAGGCTTACTCCGGCACCTGCAAAAAAGTACCATTTCGTGAGTGCGCTAATGGTAATGATTTTCGTCTAGTGGTACGCTACCGGTGGTACTGGTATGCTACTAGTAGTAGTGGTAGCGAAACAGTACCACTAGTCAATGCCACTGGTAGCGAAACAGTACCACTAGTAGCGTACCACTATCACTGGTAGCGTACCAGTACCACTAGAGACTAACACAAAAAACCATATCTGGAATTTGAAAAATCACAGATTTCGAAAAAAAAAATTGGAGATGAGGAAAGGGAAAGACAGGGGAGAGGCGGTGACCTCGTGGTGGCGCCGTGAAGACATGAGGTGGTGGGAGGCAGAGGCGGCCGCGGTGATGTAAAGACAGCGATGGGCGCAGTAGGGGCAACGAGGGCAGCGGGGCGACGGGTGCAGCGTGGCCTTGCAGGGGGCGGCGGGGACGGTGTCGGCGTGAGGAGGACAGAGGGAGGAAGGCGGCAGCGAGGACGGTGATGGAGGACGGTGATGAAGCTCTTTGACGGCTAGGGTTTTTTGTTAGAGATAAGTGAGAGGGGAAGAGGAGGGAGAAGAGATAAAAGAGTAAAATACTAAATTAATAAAACAATTATTGCTTTGCCTGAGGCTTGGGTCTCCGACAACATCAAACTCATGAGAGACTTATGTGGAATGTTGATTTTAATATTCGATTGAGACGCGGCTGAGAGGGAGAGAGTTAATTTCTTGATATTGTTGGACTCTTTCGATATTCATACGGTGGCGTGTGGACCAAGCAGATTGGTTTGGTCTCGCCATCCCGAGTCGTCGTTTTCTGTTCGTTCCATGTACATGTTTTTGTTGGAAGGACAGTTTCCGGGAGTGGACAATTTCCCTTGCAATTCTGTTTGGCGGAGCTTCATCCACCCAAAGGTGTGCGCTTTCATGTGGACGATCGCCCACAAGCGTACTCTTACCATGGATAACTTGCAAAGGAGGGGTTGGTCCCTTGCAAACAGATGCAGTCTTCGTTTCAAGGCCGAGGAGACAGTCAACCATATCATCATCGACTACGATTTCGTGAAAGTTGTGTGGAGCGAAGTGTTGAAGTTTTGTGGCAACTTGACTATTCTATAGTGGGACATCTCGGACACAATCATGAAAACCTTTTTGACTGGATTGCGTTTTGTATATTGCATTCTGTCTGCTGACAAGTTTGGTGAGAAAGAAACAAATGAATATATCTTGACAAATATAGATAACCAAACTATCAGACTTTTGTTGGGTATTAGGAAAAACTGTGGGATGACGTAAGATCAATACAAAGGAATATTTGGTGTTTAATCATTCAATTAGTAAAATAGTCACGTAAACCTTATCCTTTGGCTATAATTGTGAACTCTCAAATTGTAGAGACACATACATACACGACAACTCTTGTTGCCCACTCTTTCTTTTTTATTACTCTGACACACCTTTTGTTTCCCATACATTACAACATATATATATAATCCTAACTGAAAGAGAGACTATAAAACAATTAACACAATTGGCTATCTTTTCCTTCACCCACGTTGCTACTGGTGGAAGATGGAAACATTACTCCATGCATTAATCTCCTTATTTCTTGCATTATTTGATTTTGTCTTCTTCTTTCTAACATATGGATTAATTGACATGGATATGAGTTCTCAACTAAGCCATACTCCATTCATTTATTTTACTTCATTATTTTTGTTTTCCAAGGGAAATTGTGGGTTGTATCATTAATCATGTTTCTTCACCATAGGTAATTGCAAATTACCTTTCAACACCCCTCTTAATTTGCAATTTGGAGTAGCTCCTTGAACTTTTCACGAGTAACCGCCTTTGTCATGATATCTGCTGGTTGGTCATTGGTGTTGATAAATTACATCACAATTAGTCCTTCGTTGACGAGATCTCTAATGAAATGATGACGCAACTCGATATGATTCGATCTTGCGCGAAATACTGGATTCTTTGGCTATGGCTGATATGTTCTCACAGTGAACAATGGTTGGACCACACCAATTAGATTATGAGTTAGCTTTGGAACCTACAAAACATATCTTATGAGAGTTTTGTTGCCTTCTTCTATGCATACAACAATTGTTCATTTTCCTTCCACTTCTAACTTCTTTCCATCTCCCAAGCATCGATGTCGGTGAAGGACTCCCGATCTCCAGTCATGTGATTATTGCAACCACTATCCACCATCTAGGAAGTTGTGACTTTTGCTCTCCATTCAAGCATGATAAGCCCACCATATTGCTTTCTTCATTTTTTGTGCCGCTTGACTCGCCTACTTCTTGCTTGTTCTGGAACCAGCAATCTCTCTGGGAGTGGTTCTGAAAACTGCACTTGGTGCACTTGAATCTGCAGTCTTTTTCCCGTTGAATTAGTTGCTTTGTATTACCAAACTATATGCAATGTACATATAGGAACCAATACAACGAAAGGAAAGCTCGAGGTGAACAGCCCTGTGAAACAATGGAACTCCCAAAAATCCCACACATTCCTACACCCGCAGACCCACATCAACTAATAAGGCCAACAATACTAAGATCTAACTGCAAACTACCACTTGCACTACCAAGATACAATAAATCAGAGATAATCAATCGACTAATACTAGTAGCATCCCTGGGCGGTGATTGATGTTGGCAGTCTTTTGTTGCATGGCCCTCCTTTTTGCAAATTATGCAACTCGAGCAGATGTAGCTCGATTTTTGTTGTTGATAATTTTGTCTGTTGTTTCCTCTGTAATTGTATCTTCCTCTTCATTATGAGTTTCCTCCTCTCTTGCCTTGCTCCGATATGGCAGATTTACTTTCCGTCATGTTCACCTTTGACTGGAAAGCTTGCTCCAATGGCAGTTTGGTGAAGCGTCTCATTCTTTGCTCGTGTGCTACAAGTGAGCCCATCAACTCGTTCATTGGTAGATTTGCCAAATCTTTAGTTTCTTCTATCACAACGACAATATGTTCAAACTTCGAAGATAGCCTCCGGAGAATTCTCTCCACGACCTTCTTCTCTTCCATGACGTCACTAGTTGCTTTGATCTGGTTGACTGTCTCCGCAACACACGAGTGGAAGTTTTTGATGGTGTCGGTTTCATTCATCATCGAGTTGTTGAACTGATGCCATAAACTTTGACGCCTGATGGAGATCGCCTTTTCAGAACCTTGATATTGTTCACACAAGACATCCCAAACTTCTTTGGCTTTTTTTATCCATAGATTCTTGGATAAGATTTGCTCACTGCATGCTGAATAATTTTCAAGGCGCTGGCATTTTTCTTGACATTCTCCTTGTACTCCTTTGTCTACTTGTCTGCTCGTTTCTTGGAATCTTCGTCAGCTTCCTGTGGATCTTCGTACCTTCTTGGACGATGTACCACAAATCTTGAGATATGAAAATAGGATCCATTTAGGCACTCCGGTACTCGTACAATTCTACATCGAAAATGAGAATTTGATTTGATGATGTTGCAAACATGGTGTTTAACGAAGTTGTTGCCATGGTATTGACTCTGATACTAAATTTATTGGGCATTAGCGGAAATGTGGTCTAACATAGGATCAATACAAAAAAAAAATATTTGGTATTTAATCACTCAATTAGGAAAACACTCACATAAGCCTTACACTTTGACTATAATTGTGAACTCTCAAATTGTAGAGAATACATACATACACGACAACTCTCTTTTTTTTATTTCTCTGACACTTTGTTGCCCACTTTTTTTTTTTATTTCTCTGACACACCTTTTGGTCATACATTACAACATATATATATAACTAGTTTTTTACCCTCCCGTTGGGCGGTGTATTTTGTTTGGCTGTTTTATAATTCGTTATAGTATTCAAATTGTTATTATTATTTATGTTTGCTAAGGTAATATACATGGAATTGTAAATCTCACTTACCTTATTTCAGGTATTATTTCATACTTTTATACCTTTCGTTTATTTATGAACATTTTAATTTTATTAACTGAGCTCTTTGTAGACAGTTCTTTATTGATTTAGAATTTGTTTTTATCGAACTCGCCCTTTAAGATTATAAACATAAGAGATTATTCATTCTTTAGCACATAATTGTGATACAGAAGTTAAAAAACTTACGGCCACAAAAGAAGAAGTTAGAATAAGAAAATGTGCTTCAATTAATAATAATAAAATAAGCGAAGAGCTTTTTCTTTTCTCTCCCTTCTCATATGTCGGTATATGATAATAGAGAATATTCCGATCTAAATCCCATGAATATCGTGTATTCTCACTTACACATACAATTTTGGAATAAGGAGGAAACCCATTAGCATCCACGTCCATCAATCTTCCACGTACTTGTTTAATTACCTTGAAATGTTCTAGCAAAACCAACCACAAACAAAACTATCAGCTGTCACTAACTTATTAAAGCAATATTTTCAGCAAATTAAACTGCATATAATTAAACACAATTTATATTTTGTAGAGAGCTACATATCTCTTACAGAAAAGAATTGTGCTTTATTACTTAATAACAACATAGACAAATAATGAAAGGAGCAGTCTTCAATACAACTCAACTCATTTTATCATTCAGATTCCTCATTTGTGAACTGAATATATGCATCAATCCAAATAGTAGTTTGTAAGAAAATAATCATGTCAAAATCAATCTTTAGTTAGGGATTCAATGCAGAAAAATTCACCTTAATGAAACAAACAAATGTCACCGCAAACATGTAGAAATTAAAAAATCATCTAAATAGACAACCGAGAAACCACCATTATCATTTTCTTTCTTCTTCGCGACCTTTACTTATAACCCCTTTGCTATCTACTAATTACTAACCAGATCATCATTGTATAGCTAGGTAGTAGTAGCATGTCAATCATGAACATAAAATATAATAAACAATCATCACAACTCTACTTTCCATTTCAACATTCAAGAAATCGGGTTGGAATAGGCATTCAAGAAAAACGATCAATTATTCAACCAAAGGAGGTATGCGCTAAGTCCAACCAATTAACCCTTCTAATTATATTTTATATACATGAAAGTATATGGCGACCCTTCTCAGTAAAAAAACAAAGAAGAAATATATTCACTCATCGAGAGTGAGAAAATTTACCATAGAGCAGTCGTAATTTGGAAGAAATTAAGAAAAGAATGGGAAAAAGAGTATAACTCGGTCAGTCAACCGCAAACAATAACATATCGCTGAGAAAGTGAGACCAGTTGCCAGCTTCGGATCAAGGAGGAAGAGGGAGCAGTCGACAACCCTCGGCTTGGTTCACCTCATCTTCACAATGATCATATTAACTTTTTTCGTCAACGGGCAAAAATATGTTACAACTGCTCAAATTTTTGTCATCTTATCGTTGTCTCGTGTAATTTCTACCTCCTATTCTCATACAAAAAAAAAATTCGTATGCATTACCATTTCCTTCTCTATAAATTATGAGAATACAAATATTAGAAATCTCAAAAAATTTAGCAACTAATAAGATGGCTTTGTTTATTTTTATGGTGGTTGACATACTTTTTTAATTTCTTATTTTCAATGTTGGATTTTATTTCTAGAGAGACAATCAAAATGGGGAAAGGGATAGAAACAAATTAAAATTTTGCATTAATAATTAATATGTTTTTATTTAATCGAAATGAATAAGAAGTTTTTTAACAAATAACAATTATTGCTCTGTCAAGTTTATATTCAGACTTTTTTCAATATAATTTATACTTGTTTTATTTGATAGGTATATACATAAGAAAGAAGTGAGTGTTTGACAGCAAAAAACATATAGTCATATCGTTCATTTCTCAATGTCGATTGATTGTCAAACGTTTATTTTCTCTTAGATCATCGTTTATTTTTTGTATTAAAAAATATTAATATTTATGTGTGTGCTTGTTTTTTTTTTCTTCATCAACATATAAGTTAGGACTTTAGTAAAAATGAGTAGAAAATTTACTTAATCAGATTTAATCAGCATGGATTAAACAAATACAATATATGTCACTCTCTGTTTCCATCTTTATAGTTTGTTTAATGGAAATTTTTTTATTACTTAGGTGTGTGTTTTTTGTTTAAATGTTTCCTAAAAAATAAACTTATTTTAATTTTGGTAAAAATGAGTAGAATTATTAAAAGAAGAGAGAGAGAGAGAGAGACAACTTCATAAATAGATCAATAAATAGTTTTTTGTTTGAAAAATAATTGTCCACCTTGGCAGCTTGTGTATTCACCAAGTGCTTATGTGGCAAGAACTTATTTTTGAATAGCCATAATATTTAGTATAGTATAGATATAGATATAGATAGATAGATATAGATTATAACTGGAAGAGGTATTATAAAACAATTAATACAATTAGCCATCTTTTTTTCACCTACGTTAAGCTAGTGGTGTGGAAGATGGAAACATCACTTAATTCAATTGGCCTACTCATTACTCCATGCATTAATCTCCTTATCTCTTACATTATTTGATTTTGGCTTCTTCTTTCTAACGAATGAAATTGACATTGATATGAGTCCTCAACTACGCCATGCCCCCATCCATTTATTTGACTTCATTATTTTTGTTTTGCACGCAATATTGTGGGTTGTACCATTAATCATGTTTCTTCACCATAGGTAATTGTTCAACAACTTCAAACGGGTAAATCTCAAACCTCAGAAAACAGCCATCTCCCCATGCCTGACCTCCAATCCGGCGATGGCAATATACGTTCTCGAGGACATCCTGGGCATCACAGAGGCAGCCCGACGAGCCCTCATCCGCCGCCGGTAACCGTAGATGATCGAGCCGTCGACGTAGTCCTCGTTCTTGTACCATGCGCCCTTGTTCACCGGCCGCCTATCCCCAACCATGTTGTCGATCAGACGGTATACACAAAGAATCCGCTGATCGTCGTAGCCGAAATGATCAAGGTTGCAAAGCCAGCCAGTTACCTGGGCCGACGCCGATTGAGTTCTGAGCGACATCACTAACGAAACCGCCACCATCACAATTAAGATCATCGCCTTATTAGGTCTATAGTTCCCTGCACATGATGATGACGGCGAACTCATTTTTGTGACGATTACTTTGCTCGTTTCATTTATACTTTGACAAATTCGGCAAAATATTCCCGATCCATGCAGAAACCGACGTAGTACGTACGTTGCTGATCGCCGGGATCATACTACTATGTTTGTGCTTTGGCTGTCTTCTAGATTATTTAGGTTATACCGAAAATAGAAATTTTGGGTTTATCGCCAAAAAAGTATTAATTCGTCTGATGTGCGAGCTGTGACCAAATAGTGGCGGCTGCGAAAAGATTCAACGACCCATAAGGCTAGTGGTGGGCAAGCAGCTGTGCGGTCAAACTGCATCGAATCGTATAGTATTAAGATAAATTGCACCGTACCGCGTGTAAATTGAAAAGCACCGCATATTTAACCACAATTTAATTGGTGCGGTTCAATCTCATCATATACTTATGTGATTTGGTGCAATTTAAACCGCAACTACACTTTTGGCCGCAATCAATATGGACTATGTACGAGTGGGTTGACAATGTGTTCAAAATTAACAAACGCAAAATAAATGGTGGTGAGATTCTTGCTTCTGAAACCATTTTATCAGAAGAGAAGAGAAGAGAAGAGAAGAGAGTGAGAATGTATTTATAGAGAGAGAGGATAAGATGACATAGGTGGTCTTGGTATTATTCTGAGACAATGCTAAATATTCCCAGTATGGCAACATCCATCCGACCGTCCATTCAATCAATTTGAATTCCAGTTCAGAGTTTATATTCTTTGTGGTTTTCGACCGCAAAAACGCGGTTTCAGGTTAACTCGGCGGAAAATTGCTAACTGCACTATTGCAAGTCATCCCCTGGTGGTTCCCTGTCAACCTATCTATGTCTTGTAGCACAAGAAATGAAGCTCGGTACTGATGGAACAGGGGAAACAAAGGAAACCAGCTGGAGCAAGATGAAGATAAAGACTGATCCAACTGGAGGGTGCTCTGGACATCTCTCAGCTTTGGAATGAAGTCAAGGAAGACGAGGGACCACTGTGAAGGGCATCTTCCTATTTTTTTTCTTTGGGGAACACTGAAAGTGACACTTGTACTTGGTTCAGTTTTAAGTTTTTGTCTTCTAGTTTTTGGAGGTAGCAGATCAACATAGGTTTGAGTTTGAGCCTTGTGTCTCTTTATTTTCATATAATGTGAGAGACATATCAAAATCGAAATGAGAAAGTGGATCTGAAGTACAAGAGATTAGCCACTATTTTGGGTTCAAAACTGTTCTTCTACCATACTGTTTTTTCCAGTTATTTACACTGTTAAATTGCATTTCTGCACAATTTGTGTAGCTGGAAATTACAAATATCCTGTTTTCTACACCTGGTATCAGAGCCCTCTTGATCTTTGAGAGGGATCGTGAGACTTTTTTCTTGGAGTAAATCAGTGAGGATTTGTGAGTGTTGAGTGTTTTCTTCTTTTTCTCGACCTCTACTAGTTGAAAGTTACTAAAAATGACTTCAACTGGACTCTCTCTGACCTCACCCCTAGTTTTCAATGGTAAGAAATACCATATGTGGGTTGTAAAAATGAAGTCTTTCATACAAGGGAAGACAACTAGGATCCTGTGGCCAGAAGAGTGGTGGGTCCACTTCCAACAATTGTTTCTCTCAATCAGCAAACAAGATATGCTGAAAAAGTAGCCAAAACCAACAAGCTCTCACCTGCATCCATGATGCAGTTACTAAGGAAGTCTTCTTCATAATCATGACTTGCACCATAACAAAGCATGCTTGAAACAGATCCTTTACCTTCTACAGATAGCATATCACCATTCTCAATCTTCACTTTAGACTTATAAGACTTGTCCAGATCCAGGAAGTACTCCTCATTATTTTTCATATGATTTGTACATCCAGTATCCAGAAGTCAGTCCTCACTGGTGCTTGTAGCTGTGAAACAGGTGACCATGAACATTCATTTTTGCTTGTTCTGTTCATTTGCTTATGCAATAGCCACTTGCTCTCTGATGCTTTGTTTTTACAAACCTTCTCAACATGTCCAAGTCTTTTACATGATCTGCATTGCACATTAGGTCAATGTATCAGAGGAGTTTTGCCCTGAAAATGAAAACTACTAACATGGTTGTAGTGATTAGAAATGATCAATCAGCTCTGTGACACAGTAGGCTATGTCATTTTAGTCAGCTTACCATGGTTAAAATGGCCCAGGATGGTCTGGTAAAGGATTTACTTGTTCTTGAGTTGAATGAAGGTGTGTGTGAAATCTGTCGGCTTGGAAAACAACACAGGTTCCCCTTTCCAAAGAAACACACTTGGAGAGCTCCTGTGAAGCTTGGAATGATTCACACTGATATATTTGGGTCTTTCAGGGTGGAACCTTGGGGTGAAAGTAGGTATTTCTTGTTGTTCATTGATGATATGCAAGATACCGTTGGGTTTACTTCCTGAAAAACAAGTCTGAAGCTCTTCCCAAATTCCAGGAGTTTAAGGCATTTGTTGAAAATCAAAACAATGAGAAGATCAAAATCTTGAGATCTGACAATGGGAAGGAGGACACTTCTCAAGCCTTTGAGAAGCTCCTGGCAACAAAAGATGTACTTCACCAACTCACATTCAGGTATACTCCACAACAAAATGAAGTAAGAGAAAGAAAGAATATGACAATCTTTGAAATGGCTAGATGTCTGTTATTTGAGGAGCTATGAATATGGGTTGTAGCTGTGAATACTTCAGTCTACCTGCTCAATAGACAAACAACAAGGTCAGTCAAGGGAAAGACTCCCTATGAGTAAGGATGAAAATTTCAACTTGGCCCGATTTACCAGACCTGTTTGACTTGTTTTGGGACGGGTCCGACCCACCCCGTAAGCGGGGCGGGCGGGCATGGGTATTCTCATCGACCCGAACTGTTCTAAACCGCCCCATTTTTTACCCGTTCTTGCCTAAATTACATGTAATCTTAGTTAAATTCTTGAAATTTTCCTTTTATTACATCATATTTTAGCTATTATAAAGTTGTGAATTAGTGAAAACCTCAATTTCTTCAATAAATTAACTACAGTTTATCATATTATGATTTTTTTTTCTTGGTCTTATAATAAAAATAATGAATATTTCTAATATTTTTCATATAAATCCATTAGGTTGACCTGCCCGAACCCACGCCCCGTGATAAATGACGCTGCCTGGACCCGACCTGCCACGAGGCGGGTATGGGTATCGAGATACCCGCCCCGGACCTGCCCCATTGCCATTCTTACCTATGAGGACAGGAATGGGTTCAGACCTAGTCTATTTCATCTTAGGACCTTTGGATCTATGTGTTTTGCTCACGTTCCAGCTCCAAAAAGGGACAAGCTTGATCATAGATCTGAAATGGGGATTCTAGTGGGCTATAGTACTGAGTCTAAGGCCTACAGAATCTTCAATCCAACAACTGAGAAGTTCCAATTGAGCAGGGATGTCATTTTTGATGAGCAGGCCACTCATGATTGATAACCTCCTCAAAATAAATCTGAAGACATCTATGATCTTGTGACATTTCAGCTTCAAGATCATCATGACATGGATGATGAGCCATAACCTCAAGTTGATGAAGACCAAGCTCAAGAGCAAGATCAACCTGAGGATCTAGAGTATGAAGAAGATGATCATAATGATCATGATGATGAAAACTATGATCATGTGCCTGTAAGAGGCATGAGAACATTGGCCAGTGTGTATGAAAGATGCAACATGGCCATGGAAGAACCTGAATCTATTCAGGAAGCTTTGAAGTATGATGGCTGAAACTCAGCCTTGAAAGAAGAATGCAAAATGATTGACAAAAATGAAATCTGGATTCTGGTTAAATGACATGTTGGAAGAAAAGTGATTGAAACTAAATGGGTGTAATAATACACCGACAATAAGCACACAAACCCCATATCAGTGAACTGAGTTCTAATAAGAAAAGGAAGAGGAAAGGGTTCGTGTACAGAAACGAGAAAGGAGAAGTGGATTGGCTTTGATCCGAATAACAAAGGAAAAAGCAATTTTTGGAGTTTTTAGTAAAACTGGTCGTATACCTTGAATGGGCCTAACCTATAATTAAAACAAGGATTATAATTGGGCTTATTTAAATTGACTTATGCAGCCCACAGTTGTCTTGAAATAGAAACACTACTTAGCAGTACAGACTCTGCTTTCCAGAACACAGCAGCAAAGCAGATTAAGCAATAAACTAAAGACAACAGCAAAGCAGATTACATGCAGTAAAATAAATGACACAACAAGTTTGTTAACGAAGTTCGGATAAGCCTACGTCTCCGCCCAAGGGTGACAATCCCCTTGAGACCTAGTATATAGGAATACAATCTCTAACCACAAGTTGATTCTCTTTGGGTGAGAATCAAACCCTTAACAAGGAAGTTACAGAAGTTTAAACTCCTCTCTTAATCACAAGCATACAAACTGCTAAAGAGAAAAGACCTCACAACTCTCACACACAAACTATGCCTCCTATACGGACTAGTTTGCAACCACGGTGATAGCTTTGTATTTGCTTCTTTTCACTTAACAACCTTCCTATGCTCCTTCTCCCTTCTGCCTCTTTTATAGCTGTCCGTTGCTCCAAAGGATTCAAATTGCACTAAGCAATTAAAGCTTACCAACACACTTGCTGTACTCACCCCATCCTTTCTACAGAAACACCATAACCGTTTACGTATAGATAAAAAGGATAATAATATTAATGTTTCTCTTGTTGCTCTCCATCACAGCTCAAGTTGTCGTTGCTTTGAAAGACAACTTGGGGTCTGAAATTTGTATCTGCACACTTGTACAGAAAGCAAATTAAGGTGTGAATTATGAACTAAGAGAATGTTATTTGTCGTACTCGTGTTTTGAAAATCTATGTTGTCCATATCCTTGCCAGAATCAGGACATGATTCTTCAAAAATGTGGTCAGCGGCCCGACCTTTTCAACAGCTACATCTCTGAATTGCCCAAATCTCTATCTAAACGATAAGGCAGACAGTTACCTAGAAGATTCCTTCTTGATCATAAACATATTTAGATAACAATATTAGAAAAACAAATGTAGGAAAGGCAAGTTTCCAACAATCTCCCCCACTTGACTTTCCTGCAAAAAAGAACAATTCTGTCTGGCAAGCATCATATCATCCATTCTAGTAACATAATTCTCTATGCCAAAAAAAAAAAAAAAACTACCCAAAGTCATTATCAACATTCAGCCAATCCATAAGCAGAGGTGACCAACACAACAGCCACGTAGCTATGTATGCTCCCCCTAAGCAAGTGACTCTTGCTCCCCCTTGAGGCTTACCAAACGGAATTATGGAAGGGCTCTAGCAGACCACATACCCAATTCATGTCTA